CACTAAAATTTCGTTTTTATGTTTTATGTGTTTTTAATTTGGCTTGTTGTTTGTTTTTAAATGTCACAGCAGTTTGGTTTTTAATRTTTGATTATTTTTACGTTTTTCTGCTTCTTCTCGCATAAAACTAAGTGACGTGACAATTTGTGACTTGAATGTTTTCACTTTTTTCAAAATTTCCTTCAAGAAMAAGTTTGTTTTTCTTACTAACCAATCCTTTAAACACGAAAAAGGAGAAAAATCTTCACTTGTCTCTGCGTTCCTACCTTGCATTTTGAAAATCAGTCAAAAATAAACACATTCAGATCTTCTTTAAGAAGAGCTTATTTTAGATAACAGTCTTCTATAAAAAGTTAGTTTACTGGTGTAAAATATAAGGAGCAGACCCGGCAACATTAACTCAGCTCTCACAGAACCAGCCACAGAATCAGAAACATTTAAGTGAGTTAGACTCCTTCCTGTGATTTTGTTCAAATAATTGGCTTGTTCTGTTTTCCTCACCTATTTGGCAACAATGCAGGAAAAAAAGAAAGAAAACGAGACAAAACACAACTCAGGTCAGAACACAGCTCCATGCTCAAAGAACAGATTATATGTGTTAACATTAGTGCTGCACGAAATTAAGAAGCGTTCCATCCTGATATTGTTAATTATTTCAACAATATCTGCAGTAAAGCCACACTTTCTATGTGCTTCAGCAACATGCCCATTTATCAGTCTAAAACGGTTCAAAACGTTTACAACAGAGGCATCTCCAGAGTTTTGTTTTTTTTTTAATCTGGGGTGGTCCCAAAATGGAATTCCAGGAAATTTGTTTGTTTATATTGTTATATTTAGAAGGATAAAAATGACAATACAGGGGGACCAGATTTATATTTATGTTTTTAACTCCTAATACCATAAAACAATGTTTGTTCTTATACTTGAGGTTCAATCAATTTTAAACAGCTATGGGAAATTAGAAATGCACATCAAGCAAAAGCTTGAGACTTGAGGATCAAACTTTCTGGCCAGTGTGTGTGTGGGGGTGGGGGGGGTGGGGGGCACCAAGGTTTTAATGGTGATTGTTGCCCCCTCTGGCTCCTCATCGTGGTGCCACCCCTGGTTTGCAAAGGTTTTTAGCTTCCTGGAGTGAGTCGCCTTGCTAGTGTCATAAGAAATATTTTAATAATTTGCCCAATAATTTCTTTATTCTTTTTTTTCTCTAAATTTTCAAAATCGTTGTGGAGGATTAGAACCTGTTTTTTATTTTTTTATTTTTATTTTTATTTTTTGCCTGTGTGGGCCAAATCTAATAATTTTTCCAGGAGCTTGTGTGTGTTCAGGGTGATTTCAAGTGAAAATTTGCTCTTTTTCTGTGTGTTTCTCCATCTACTTGCAGGCTATCGAAATGGCCAAAAGYCTTGTGTGTCTGTATTTTGTTTTTCTCCTTTCTGACATTGATGTTCCAAAAACATTACGTTTTTGATACATTGTTCAGCCCTAAATCATAATTAAGACAAATGTAGAGACATAAATATCATAAAACAATCCAACTTTTAATGTTTCTGTAAAACAAACATCTTTCAGCTCCTCTGCTGTGGAATCGTCTCACTGAGTGACAGAAACGCAGCACTGAACTTGTAATTTATTGTTTGTACGACTGATGTGTGAATTAAAAAAAAAAAAACAACAGAAGCAATCAGATGAGTTTTATTTATTATAGTAATTTTGTATCAAATTACTATTTAACTGAGGGATGTGACTGTGTTGAAACAATCCCATGTAAGAATATAGTGTTTACTTTTCTAGTCATCCACATGAATATATGTAAATAAAATCTATATATTTAAACACCTTTGTGTCTGTGCCTTAAATCACCTCRTCAAAAAGTTGAAACAGGATTTTTATTTCAGCAACAATCACATGAAAAAAGAAGAAAAACAAAAATTTAATTTAAAAAAATGAGTCATTTCTGCATTTTTATTTTTTATTTTTTGGATGATTAAAATTAATTTTACAAAATGTAAAATATCTTTTCACTTATATTCAAATACAAGACAAATTTAGACATGCAGGGGTCTGAACTGGCAGAATTTAGACGTTTTTGTGACTGTCTGGGTTCTGTGTTTGAATATTCCTCCATGATTTTCAGTTTGAGTAGATCATAAGTTCTGTCAATAAGAATCATGTCATCAGCTGCTGAAGGACAGGAGTTCAGAAGTAAGCCTAAACATTCTCAAACTTTAATAAAGAGGTTTGGCTTTTTAATAGCTAAAGATAGAATGTTTTTACTAATTAAACCTGTTAGGTTATATTGGCAGGGTTTTAGCCATCAGTCCATCAYCTTTACCCGCTTCCTCCTTTCTGTGACACACTGACACTGGTGCAGCAGTCACTGTGCCGACATGTCACAAGTCCATCACAGGGCCACACTTAGAGACAATAGAGTTACTAGTTAACCTAACGTGTGTTTTTGGTCTGTGGGAGGAAACCAGAGTACCAGGAGAAAACAAACTCCACCCAGGCCTAGATTCTATCTAATCATCTCACTGTGAGGCCACAGTTCTAGCAACCATGCCACCCAAAAGTCCAGATAGTGTAAATATGAAATTAATCCTCATCAAACTATTTTAAGATGATGCTTTCAATTGACTTGAAAGTAGGTACATCAGCTGATAGCCAGGAACATCAAAAGAAGATCAAATAAAGGACAAACAGGCACATGTGAATAAAAGTCAACTGAAAACTGAAAAAAGTCGGACTGTTACCTCTTGGTTGAGGGAGGTTCTTGTCCGCCAAGTAGCCTATCTAGTGGTCTTGGAGATGCACGAACAGACTAACAACTGGTCCACGGTAAGGTTAGCTCCCTGTCATGAGGTTAGAGGTCATGATGATCACGACTCAAACCGTTGAACTGAGCTGCTTCTTTACACTGGTCAGGCTCAGCCTCAGGGACAAGGTGAGGACGATGTTGTCAATTTGTGATGCAGAAGCGCCACCTGTTGACAGGCGGCGTGAATTGTCTGAAAAAGCTCCTGCTTCCGTTTAAACACATTATTTAGTGTTTGGCGCCACCTGGCGGTGAAAACGTTGAATTGCAGTTTGGTCCTTTTTCAGTCCTGAGTTTTTAAGGTGGAATTTTGTGATCTTTACGGACAAACTGATGCACCTTAAGTGGGGCTCTGTTCCTAGACGTTTGTGTCTTTATTATGAATGTCTTATATTAGTCTGATAAATGTTTTTTTTCTTATATTTTAGCGATTTATACTGATTCAATAAAATTATTGCCGTCTGTTGGACAGGAAGAAAAAATTGAGGAGGAGGGGGGAGAAGCAGGAGGACAGGGGCTACTGGTGCCTTCATCAGAACGCAGAGGAGCTCTGGTGGATACATCGTTTCCACCTTAAGCCCTCGGCGGCCCCTTTACGCTCTCTGTGCCCCGGGAGTTGAGCTGCTGGAAGCCGGTGATGGCGCGCCACAGCCGGCTTGGCACAGGCTGAAGCCCGGCGTGATCTACATTTCTGCCTGTCACTTCATTTCAAACTCCAATAAATTCACTTTTATTCAAATAACATTCTGAAAAGACGTTTGAGGTTGTTGTTGTTTTTTTTTTAAAGTTGAAGTTGAGGTTTAGTTCTGACTGTGTAATAAACGCGCGTGTGCGTAACTCTTGTGTGCAGATTCTCAGAATGATTGAATGTTTTGGCATCTGATCCAGGTCCTCATTGCGCACGGGACTTGGCCCCTCTCTCAACTCAAAGAGGAAAGGGGTGGTCCCGGGACAAGAAGGTATATAAAGGACGGACCGGCTCGGGTCCGACTGAAGGACAGAGAAAACGGCTCAACAGAGTAAAGGAGCAGAACTTAGAAGTATTTTGGAGACAGAGAGGGACTTTGTTGGGACTTGACTGCTCAGATTCAGTTTTTTTTCCCCTCCCATTTAAAAAGGGACTTCTGTTTTGTAAGAGTTTTTCCACTGGGTTTGTTGTTTTAGGCTGTGCGTAATTTGGAAGTTTTGTGGAAACATTTTGTTTTTGGGATTTCACGTCTCCATGATGTGGTTTTCCTTTGGTTTGGTTGCCGTTCTGTGGGTGGGAGCAGCCCGGAGYGCCTGGGAGGAGAGCACAGTGGTCCCGGTCCGACTGGACCCGGCGAGCGGACACGAACCGTGGCGGACTCTGTCCCCCGAGGAGAGGGAGAAGCAGGGGGAGATGAGGGCGTACCGGCTGGACGTGTTCGGGAAGCTGCTGGTTTTGCAGCTTGAGCCAGACCAGACCTTCCTGGCGCCGGGGTTCGTCTTCCACGTCGTGGGGAGCCCCGAGTCCGACCCGACGCAGGGGCCCGAGAGGAGCGGCGCGGAACCGGGCTGCTTCTTCTCCGGCACCGTGAACGGAGAGGAGCGCTCCTCTGCCGCGCTCAACCTCTGCCGCGGCCTCACGGGCGGCTTCTACTTCCAGGGTGAGGAGTACTTCATCCAGCCGCTGAACTCCGCCGACCTCCAGGGCAGAGAGGAGGAGGAGGAGGTCCACATGGTCCGCCGGAGAAGTCGCGCAGTTTTGGCCGAGGAGGGCAGCTCCAAGTGCGGGGTGAGCGAGGACGAGGAGAGGGTGCCAAAGAATCTGGAGAAAGRGGCCAAGCCAAAACCTGGAGCTCCTGACGCGGAACAGACAGGTAAAAGTGCACACATTTTAAATATTTTAGTTAATTTCATTACAGCCGAAACCCTCAAAGCAACCATCAGAAATAAACAAACAACTAAATAAAACCAGATTTCAATCAGTGCAGAAAACTGCTGTCAGCTGGAGCTGCCTGTGCGCCAAGAGCTGCAGAGTTGGACTCAGCTACCTCTTGACAGCACTGCCAGAGTAATGGGAGGGGAGGGCGGGGTGTGCACTCACTCACTGGKACTAACCTCACAGAGTTTAAAGGGTTTAGTCTCTCAACTGTATTTTTTCACTCTTTAAAATTTTTTGTGTTTGTGTGTGAAATAATATGGATCCTATAAAAGAGGAACTGCTAATGAGTGGCACCGAGTCCCAACCTGAAGACTCCTGTTGCTTATTTTCTGAACAACTGTAGTCCAGGATAGGTCTGACCTTTCCGTCCCCCTTCCCCTCAGCCCACCACAGGACCAGGCGCTTCGTTTCCACACCTCGCTACCTGGAGATCATGCTGGTGGCCGACCAGTCCATGGCAGAGTTTCACGGCGCAGGCCTCAAATCCTACCTCCTGACCATCATGGCGGTGGCGGCGCACCTCTACCGCCACCCGAGCATCCACAACTCCATCAGCCTGGCAGTGGTGAAGCTGCTGGTGGTCTACGAAGAGGAGCGAGGCCCCCAGGTGTCCTCCAACGCTGCCGTGACCCTCCGCAACTTCTGCCAGTGGCAGCGGCAGCACAATCCGCCCAGCGACCGCCACCCGGAGCACTAYGACACGGCCGTGCTCTTCACTAGAACCGTAAGTGGTGGCTCGAGTGGTTTTTTTTAGACAGGTAATGAATTAAGAACACGTTTATTAATGTTCTGTTGATGTTTGGTTAGGATCTGTGCGGTGCTCACTCCTGCGACACCTTGGGGATGGCAGATGTTGGCACCGTGTGCGACCCGGACAGAAGCTGCTCCATTATTGAAGATGATGGACTGCAGGCAGCCTTCACGGTGGCTCATGAACTGGGTAAGAGCACTAAAATATATTGTGAAGTAGCGTGAACATAAATACTACAGTTGCTAAAATATCTGCTGCCTTCCAGGTCATGTCTTCAACATGCCTCATGACGATTCCCAGTTGTGTTCCGGTGTCAATGGTCTCCACTGGAGCTCCCACATGATGGCCTCCACCCTGGCCAACCTGGACCAGAGGGATCCGTGGTCTCCCTGCTCCGCCCTCATGGTCACCAGCTTCTTGGACAACGGCCATGGTCAGTGCTTGCTAGATAAGCCGGCAAAGCCTCAGCCGCTGCCCCAGCCTCTGCCAGGGAGGGTCTACGACGCCAACCATCAGTGTCGCCTGACCTTTGGTGAGGACTCCCAGCACTGCCAGGACCTGAGCACAATGTGTGCCGCATTGTGGTGCACCGTCACCTCCACCAACGGTTTGCTGGTGTGCCAGACCAAGAACTTCCCCTGGGCCGATGGGACGCCGTGCGGCAACGATGGCTTCTGCTTGGCTGGACAGTGTCTGAACAAGAGTCAGGCCACCGAATATCAGGTAGAAAACCAGATAATTTTCTAATCCTGCTTCAAAATGGCTCACTTTTACTGCTGCTGTTATTCTAAAGTTGAATATCTCTATCCCTGTTAGACTCCCGTTAATGGTGGTTGGGGTCTTTGGGGTCCTTGGGGCGATTGCTCTCGGACCTGCGGGGGAGGGGTGCAGTATTCTTTCCGTGCCTGTGACAACCCTGTGCCGAAGAATGGAGGCAAATACTGTGAAGGCAAGAGGATCCAGTACCGCTCCTGTAACACCGACGCCTGCCCTGACACCAACGGTAAGAGGCTTTGACCCGCTGCCTGCAGCCAGAATCTGGATCGAGATTTGATGAATGCTTTCAGACCGTCTTGAACCGTCGTCTTTGTTTCTCCTACTCAGGCCTGTCGTTTCGTGAGGAGCAGTGTCTGGCCCACAACGACATGTCGGCCCAAGTGTCGTTGGGTTCAGGCGAAGGTGTCGAGTGGGTGCCCAAATATGTCGGAGTTTCACCCAAAGACCGCTGCAAGCTAGTGTGCCAGGCCAAGGGGACTGGGTACTTCTTTGTCCTCAAATCCAAAGTGAGTCAATRATATGTTCTATTTGTTACATTATCAGTGTGTTTAAAGTAAAACATATTCTGCTGGTTTATCTCATATCAGCTCATACACTGATTTAGACCCACAACTGGACAGGATCTTTTTCATRACAGTTCTGTTTTTGTCTCTCTGCTGACCCCAGGTGGCCGATGGAACGCCCTGCAGTCCAGATTCCACCTCGGTTTGTGTGCAAGGTCAGTGTGTCAAGGCCGGCTGTGATCGTGTCATCGGCTCCAGCCGGCGCTTCGATAAGTGCGGCCTATGTGGCGGGGACGGATCCACCTGTAAAAAAGTCTCAGGCTCCCTGGAGTATGCCAGGTAAACACACAAACCCTTGCTGTCAGACCTTAGCCGCCTCCGCGTCACAATCCTTTTCATGTCTGAGTTTGTCCTCCAACTATCTGTGTTTCAGGCCCGGTTATCAGGATGTTGTAACCATCCCTGCTGGTGCCACGCTCGTGGACATCAAACAGCGAGCTCCTGGCAACGGTCGCCAGGATAACAGCTATCTGGCGGTGCGGCGCCAGGACGGAACCTATCTGTTAAACGGCGATTACAAACTGATGACCTTGGAGACTGATATTTCCGTTCGGGGATCGCTGTTGAGATACAGTGGCTCTTCTGCTGTCCTGGAGCGCCTCCGAAGCTTCAGCCCACTCCCAGAACCCCTCACCATCCAGGTGCTCTCTGTGGGCGAGGCCCCGAGGCCCCGAGTCAAGTATAGCTTCTTCGCCCCTCGACCCAACACTGCTGCTGCAGCCCCCAACAACGGAGGGCGCTGGCAGTCAATCAACGCCATCCGGGAGGTCGGCGGAGCCGAGTGGACTCTGAGGGAGTGGGGTCCGTGTTCCCAGTCGTGTGGAGGCGGCGTGCAGCAGAGAGAGGTTGTGTGTTTGGACTCCCAGGGTCATTCGTCCAGAGACTGTCCGGAGGAGCTTCGTCCTTTGGTGTCGCGGTCCTGCAGCTCCCAGCCATGCCCCTCCTGGCTCCTGGGCGAGTGGTCCGAGTGCTCCAGGACCTGCGGCCGGGGCTTCCGCAAGCGCCAGCTGCACTGCATCGGGCACGGCGGACAGACGTTGACCCACGACAGCTGCGACACGAAGAACCGGCCGCGACCTTTGCTGGAAATGTGCATTCGAAACGCCTGCTAAAAGACAACAACTATGACCTGAACTCCTGTCATCCCAGCCCGAAACCCTCCATGGTCTTCCCTTTTTTTCCCTACAAATAATCTTAAAAAAAGACAAATGTTTACATCCAGAGCTACGAATAAGCCCTCAAAGATTGTGATGATAACGTTTTACCTGTCGGCAGGTCGACGCCTGTCCGTCAGCGGCGGCACATCTTACTCTCTAATGATGGCTGGACGTTTCCCACAAAGTTGGTGCTAACGTCATGCTTGGGTGTGCGTGTGAGTGTCTGTGCGTGTTATTCCTGTATATATATATATTTGTCCAAGCTGGGCTGGACGGACCAATCAGATGTAGGCTGGAGGTTTCTGCAGAGTCTAATAAGAAACAAGTGAGAGAGAATAGTTTCTCACCCCATCAGGTATGGAAAATAAGATATCTCATTGTGTTTATTTATCACAAACCTGAAGCACTTCACCTTTGTTTTATTTTTTCCTTTTTGCCAGCGGCACATTATTTTCACTTCATTTAAGAAAAAAGCCTCAGTCTTTTAGCCATATCTTGCCCTCACCTACTCAGCTTTCAATGAGGGAACTCAAAGAGACCAAAGAGGAGAGTTTGTGTGTTTGTGTATGTGTGTGTGTGTGTGTGTGTGTGTGGGTGTGTGTGTGTACCTAATGAGGGACTTGTTTCCTGCTAATACTTCATAAGTAAGTCTCTCCTGCCTTCTGCGAAGGCTGTTTCTCTTTTCTATTTTGTCTAGAATATCCAAACTTTTATTTATTTTTGTACAGCCTGTTAAATATAATCATGTGGCTTTTTTAAAAATATTATTTTATATTTGTTATTGAGATTACAGAAGGAAGTAGAATATATAGAGTATTTATACAGTGTTTTTATATATATATATATGGTCCTAGACTCATGAATAAAGCATCACATTGACTTGTTCAGCTGATGTCTCGAGTGTTTTTGTCTTTTTAAACCAGAGCTTTTGCTGTTTCAACTCTTCCTGTTTTAGCTTCAATGTGGCAAATCACATACAAACACTGTTTTAAATCAGCTAATATTTCTTAAAGGAACTCATCGTCTGYCACCTTGGATGCTAAAGTTATGAATAAACATCTCGTGGTCTGTAACAAATGACTCGTACATTTTCTGTTTCCCTAAATAAGGTTCAGTAGTTCACGAGACATTTTGCTAACAGGCACAGACATAAAATCTTGTTTTAACCACTAGAGGAAAATGAGGAGCTGCTGAGGCCCAAAGTAGCTGCACAACAAGCCCACCTTTAGGCCTCGTTTAGCTGCATTATTTCCAAAGACTTCCTGTTTTTTTTATATAAAACAAAAATCTTGCTGGATCCTAACATGTTGACGTCAATCACTGTTCAACAATCTCCCCACTTCCTCTGTCAAAATTGCTTTAATCAAAGCAGATGCTATTTTCGAAACGGCAATCAAGYGGTCACCGAGAAGCAATGCTCTGACACACCAGTTGTTTTCTGTAACAGAGCCAAGCAGACTGATAAAACAGGGATTTATTTCTCATCGTTAGACATGAATTATGATTACACTCTTGACAAAATCTCTCCGTTTGTGTGACCGTGCAGTAAATTCCCCTCTGTTGAACACTTCTGCTGAAGTTTCTCGGCTCTTCGCTGTGAATAGAAGGCTCTACAGCAGGGGTCACCAGGAGCCAGAGCCCACGTGCTACTTCCTGTTGCTCTATAAGGAAGACCGGTCTTTCGCTTCTGCAGCACAAAGGAAATCATTATCCTCTAATGGGAGGTGGTTAGAAGAGGAAGACTGGTCATCTGCATGATGTGTCACGAAACAGCTGCTCTACTTCAGGACACACACACACACACACACACACGTCTTCTTTCCTCTTATTTTTTTTCTTCCTCGTTTTCTCTCTGGCTGTTATCATGCTGATACATTTCCTGCTTCTGGCACGGCTCCTGCATAG